CATCCCTTCCCACAAGAGACAGTTTTCCATTAACTTCTTTGAGTCCTTCTCGCGGGATGCAATCTTTACCCATCAGACTGACCCAGAGCAGGTTTTTCCCACGGAGTCACAGCTTTTTTGGGCACAGACACCTGCTCCAACATGGGTTCCTCCGCTCCACTGTTAATCTCCAGCAATGGGGGGGGTTCCTTCCCACAAAGACAATCCTCTACAAACTCCCTTAGGCACAGGCATCTCTGCTCTGGCATGGGGTTCTCCATGGCCTGTGGGTGGGTCTCTGCTCCACCATTAATCTCCACGGGAGGCAGGGGGGGTGCCTGCTGTCTCACCACGGGCTGCAGGGAAGTCTCAGCTCCGGCACACCTCTTCCTGCTCCATCTTCACTGACCTTAGTGTCTGCATGGTCGTTTCTCTCAGGTCTCAGTCCTCTCTGCTGTAGCTGTGCTGGGCCCAACTGGTCTGATGAACTTTGGCAGTCCCAGCAGGATGAAGTCTGCCCAGCTGGTGCCCCGGGAGTGGGGTGCTTTGGAGTGCTCCAAGCTGTGCTGCCGCAGCCAGCTGCACTTGGGCGATGGTGGCCCAGCATGGGCAGTCAGCCACCTGGGAGGCCGGAGTGGGGCCTCCCTCTCCCCTCTCTCTTGACTGCAGGTCCCGCATGGCATGGGTTTCTTTGTCCCTTCTTAACCATGTTTATCACAGAGGTGCTGACTGGCTCAGCCCTGGCCAGAGGCAGGTCTAGCTTGGAGCGGGGGAGCCTTCCCGCAGCCCCTTACAGGGGCTATCTCTGTAGCCCCTCAGCCACTACCAAAATCCCATCACATCAGTCCAGCACATCTACTTGTGTCCAGTTGCGTTACAGCTCTCCTGTGAACCATGTTTGCAGTGGTAATAAGCTGATACAGATGGGTTAAGACTGATTGATCCATATTTCCCCAATAGTTGTTCTTGCCAGGTTATGTGATGTTTTGTAACATGAAAGATCGTTATGTACAGTGTTTTGTGATAACTGCATCTCTTGTGATCCAAAAATATCTTGCTGCTACAGTCACAATGACGTTGTATTGGGTTTTGCAATGTTATTCCATCCAACAGATTGGGACTGTGTGCTCCGCTACTGGACCAAGCGCTGTTCAGCATACTGAAATGCCCTCTGGTCCAGAATAAAATTCATTAAGCTGGGCAGCAAGTGACAATAGGCTTAAATATGGCCTTTGGCTGCTGTATATAAATGTTCTTCATGGGCCTTCTTAGGTCCTTAGCCTAGCATACCCTAAAGACAGATACAGAATAATATTAACTTGTTTATAAAATAACATTCATCGGACAGTTGAGTAATGGTTGCGTCCAATTGAGCTGCTTAAATTGCTAGTTGCAAGTCAGTGCTGGAAGCAGGAATATATACTAGGATTCCAGCTCCCCCAAGTCATACCAAAGCAAAATATTTGTTGATAAAATATCTATACATTTCAATCTGAATTTACTGATCTGTGTAAGTGACATATTAGACCCCTACCGTATCTGTATACCACAAGATTCTCCGAAGACAAATGTTCTGCTGGTAGTCTTTGAAGCAACTGCATTTAACTTTTGATTTTAAGAAAACTGCGATTCAGACTGTGAGAACGTGCAGTAGGAAGAGCTGCAGCCAAAGAAACAGTGTCCAGCTGTGGTTTACAGTGGTTTGTGGTTTTCTATTGCTTGTCACATGACAGTAATAGCTTTATGAGTTGCTGAAAAAATGACTAATTCATGCACTTTTAGCTGGAGGTGAAGGGAGAAAGAAGAGGTATGAGCAAACCTGTAATTTTTCCCCGAATACCACAGTTACTGTCTCTGATAAGTTAATGCAACTGCTTTTGTTGTCTTGTCATATAGATAAACTCTGAAGAACGTGTTGATACAGCTGATCAGGAGACAGTCTCTTGGGATCGCAGTATTCCTGAAGACATAAAACAAAAAATACAGCCTAAAGAGGTTCCAGCAGAAAGTGTTACTGTCTGGATCGATCCCTTAGATGCTACACAAGAATACACAGGTAGCTGATTCTTGTTGACAAATCATGTGTATAATTCTGATGTCTGCCTTTTATACTGGAGACAAAATAGTAAGTATTTAAAATGGCATCTCTTGTTTAAGTGCATTATGTCAAAGCTAGTGTGATTTTTTTTTTTTTTAATTGAAAAAATGCATAATTAAATATCTGTAGATATTTAAAAAAAAAATCTGAAATGGCTTTGGTATTCCTTACAACCAAGTAATTGCTAAAATAAATGCTAACTGTCATTTATGGATTCTGCTGGAATTACACATTTCTTTATTTCTGTTATTACTGTGGCAGCACTAAATATCTCAAAATATTTTTTGTTTGTTTATTCAGAGGGAATACTAAGTAAATATTCTATTTAACTTGATATAAAAAAAATTGTTATAATTCTTCAAAAAAGCATGTATAATTCAATCTTCCCCTTTTTCAGATGCTTTAAGATGTCGTGTAAGGAGTTCAAGGCAGTCCAGCTAAAATTGTTGCTGATAAGTACTGCAGCACAAACAGAAAAATGGGGATTTTTTTTTTTTTTTCCAAATATTTCCATTGATATAATCACCTTCTCGGGTGAATGTTCTTTAGTATTTGAATTACCAGTTTTGAACCAATAGAGGACAGGAGGTGGGGCAGAGATTTCCATGAAAATACATGCTGCATTAGATCTGATAGGAGTATAGGTTATATCTACTGAACAGGAAAAATTGCTGGAAAACTGGAGAGTTTTCAAAAGTCTTTTTAAAACTGCAAGGTTATTTGAAGATACAACAAAGTTACGTAATTCTAAGAGGCAGAATGTAGACTGGTCTTCAAAGAACAACATTTCTGTAATGTCAAGTCTGCTTTCTTTTAGTGTTTTTGGCACTTGCTCACTCTCTCTTTTTGCCCACAGAGGATCTTCGACAGTATGTCACGACAATGGTTTGCGTGGCTGTAAATGGTAAACCAGTAATAGGAGTCATACACAAGCCATTCTCAGCATATACAGGTACCTTTATGCCTTCACACGTTTCCAGCATCTTCAGTCATAGAGTTAATTAAAATGTGATGTTTGAGAGAACATCTGTAGGTATAAACGAGAAAATAGTACCTGGGGCAAAAGAGCGCTGCTGCAGAACTCAGAAATAGAGCTGCAGATGTGTTCAGTGCTATGAAACTAAAAAGGAAAGTGCTGCACTTGTTTAACATAAAAATGATACATTTAAAACAAGCTAACTGAAAATATATTTAAGAATTAAGATCCCTTCAATCGGGGCACTTATAGCAAACCAAAGAAAGTGAAACCTGCACATACTGACCAGTCTTAAGCGTGCTGTTAGTCTTTAGCATAAGAGTACTTTGCTCATTCAGCCGAAGAACTTGGGTCTGTGATATTATACTCAGGAGCTGGTGTTTATTCAGTGTGAATAACAAAGATTGATTAAAGATCTTAATGGCAGCTGTTTGTATGTAACAGGCAAGACTGTCTAGCATAGCCTTATTGATTATCTGACATGCTTTTAATGCCACAGCCATGAACTAATTAATTCTTCAGTATTAATGATGTATCACTGAGCATGGCTGCACGTTTGGCAATGTGTATGCACTTTTGAAAGCTTCAAAGTAGTTTTAGTATTCATGTCTTACTATATATTTGAAACAAGATTTTCTGTTCTCGTTTTCTCTTAGGTAATACTGACCTCTAGAGTTCTGAAGTTATGCAGTAGCTCTGGCACAGAAACTAAGTCTGAATAAATGTATTTTTTTTGTTCTCTTTTTTGGTCCACTGAACTCTCAATATTTTATAAATAGAAATATTTTACTGTTTTTAAATGCGAATTTAATTTCCAGTCATATGAGTATGTGCTATATTCCAATATGCTTTAAGAATCTTGGAGGTTTTGGAACAGCAAAGTATCAACATCTATCTGAAGAAATGGTTTTTTAGCACTGTAATTTTGAGAATTTATCTCCTTTAATGATAATAAAGTGTGAAATGTTCAGATGTGGCATCAGATGAGATGCAATGAATTCTGTCATTCTATGTGAAGAGTATTCCTTTCCCAAGCTGGAAGTACCAATGTATTGTGAGTAGGATTGTTCCTAGTACTACCACACAAATACAGAGCAATAAAGGGCAGTCGGCGTTGTTATTACACATAACTCAGTCTGTTGCCGCACAATCTGGCTCTCTACTGAGATGAAATTGCTGGTTAGTCTGCTAAGTAAATGTCAAATTAATGGTTAGAGGATGCCACCTACCAAGCTCGGCTTTGAACCTCATGATGAAAGAGGTGGGAGGTTGTGTATTCTAAATCCAGTCCTCTGAAACACACCATAAATTGTTTTCCTTAGTATTACTATCCTCCTGAGTTATTTCCTTCCTTAGCATTACTATCCTTCTGAACAAAATCACCCAATAGCATTTTGCTATCTGTTTTGAAGGGTAGTGGAGCTTTTTGTTCTTACAAAAAGGTTGCTTGAGGAAATATTGGAGCTATTTCTGACTCAGAGCCATCCTTTTAACTTCTGTGGCTTTCCAGTTGCAAGTTCTAAATATTAGTACTTCAGATTTTTCCCTCTTACTCTGTTTTTTGGAAGTATCGCACAAGGGTAGTCAAGCATGGGATAATGCCGTATGCACAAAAGCCTGTGTGCGTGGGGGCTGTTTCTCTTCCACTTGTGTGCACATATGGACATGTGCCCCTTCCTTCTGACAGCCCTAACTTTCTCTTTTACAGTAGAGAGGGAAATTAAGTCAGAGGCATCAATTCCATTTTCTCAGATAAGTATCCTTTTGTCTTTACACTTAACAGAGATTGTCTTTTGTAAATCTCAGCAGAATTTGTGTTTCTCTTGTAGCCTGGGCAATGGTGGATGGCGGGTCAAACATAAAACCTCGTTCCTCCTACAATGAGAAAACTCCAAGGATTATTGTATCCCGCTCCCATGCAGGAAAAGTTGAGCAGGTTGCACGGCAGACCTTTGGAAATAAGACTGTGATAATCCCTGCTGGTGGAGCAGGTTTGGTTCCTTAAGCATCCTATCTGTTTAATTACTTCCAAATGATTTAATGGGTTAGCTGTTATTAGACAAAAGGATATAACTGGTGGCATTTCCTCTTTTTCCTCTTACCGTTTTTTCTTTACATCCCTAAAAGCAAGCGCTTGACAGGAGGGTCACAGTTGCAACCTAGATGCAGACTTAGTTCAGGCTATTCACAAGTTTGCATGCTAGTGAGTCTAAGCCTGGACCAGCAGTGTTACTGGGGTCCTTCCACTGAACACGCTGATGTGTGTTCATTGAAGGCACCGATGCTGCTGTGGAGAAAAAAAGGTTGTGTGACCACACAGAATCATGGTAGAGCATGTGTTGGTTGTTAGTTAACTAGTAGTACATTTAAACAATTTTTTAAGAAAAAGCTGTTAAAGTTTGGTACTATTTCTTGCATTTATATCAAAAGAGAAAACTAGTGTCACTAAAGTCCATTTTTATCTGCCTCACTTTAATTCAAAAGGGGTTCAGCTTATTTTGTGTAACCTTACACAATATCCTTATGTGTGTTACTGACAGAATGCAAATACGTGAGGCACTAGCATGAAGCAATAGCTGTTTTCAAGTCACAGAAAAGCCATGCAGAACTTAAATTTTGCAGAAATATATCATTTTTTTTATTTAACACGGAAAGCTAGAGCTCCCTTACAGATTGCTTAGTCAAGAAGGTCTTGCACAGGTTGTTGACAATGAATCTAAGCAAGTTTTCTTACGATAAAGGCAGTGTAAGTGTAACTGATGATAGTAGATCTTTTCCAGGGCTTGACTCTGTATAAGAAGGTAAAGAAAGGAACAGTTTTATGAAACAAAGATATTGGTTAAACAGTTGAAAAATTGAAAAAATTCCATAAAAGAAAGAATACTGTTTTGAGCCATGACTTTGTACTGCATAATGTATGATAATGGGGAACGCCCTTGCCCAAGTTGCTTTATTAAAGAATGGTATATGCATCTTCCTTCTGTTGTAATAAAAAGCCAGAAAGAAAAAGGTAGACTTTGGCACAGTACAGAGACTGAGAAATAAGTGAGTGAACGTAAGAACATAGAATCATAGAATGGTTAGGGTTGGAAGGGACCTTAAAGATCATCTAGTTCCAACCCCCCTGCCATGGGCAGAGAAATCCTCCACTACACCAGGTTGCCCAAAGCCTCATCCAACCTGGCCTTGAACACTTCCAGGGATGGGGCATCCACAACTGCTCTGGGCAACCTGTTCCACTGCCTCACCACCCTCAGTGTAAAAAATTTCTTCCTTATATCTAACCGAAATCTGCCCTCTTTCAGTTTAAATCCATTGCCTCTTGTCCTATCACTACACACCCTTGTAAAAAGTCCCTCTCCAGCTTTCCTGTAGGCCCCCTTCAGGTACTGGAAAGCTGCTATAAGATCACCCCGGAGCCTTCTCTTCTCCAGGCTGAACAGCCCCAACTCTCTCAGCCTGTCTTCATAGCAGAGGTGCTCCAGCCCTCTGATCATCTTCGTGGCCCTCCTCTGGACTAGTTCCAGTAGCTCCATGTCCTTCTTGTGTTGGGGACTCCAGAGCTGAACACAGTATTCTAGGTGGGGTCTCACAAGAGCAGAGTAAACGGGCAGGATCACCTCCCTCGACCTGCTGGCCACACTTGTGTTGATGCAGCCGAGGATATGGTTGGCTTTCT